CACATCAGCAAAAACAAAATCTCTATGGTCATGCCACATCAGCAAATCTCTAATAAAAATAATTTTTAGTATATTAATAACATACTTAAAATTAAATAGTATTTAATCAACAATAATAGTAATATTTGAATATTGATTAAATTATGTACAACAAAACATATGAAATATAATTTGATTTTAAAAAAAAGAAAATATATTATATATAATATTTTAAATTTTTACAATTCAAATTAATAATAATCACATGTTTAAACTCACAGATGAGAACGTCAATATTTTGTTATATGTTTCATTGTACAATAAGTTGTATTGCCAGGTACGTGTTTAATACTTATTGATATAACTTTTATGAATATTTTAAATTTAGAAAATGCCAGAATTTGAAATTATGGATGGAGAAATATGTCTCGCAGACAGTGCTATAACCCACACCATTATTAAAGATAAAAAGTATTTATCCAGTCTCAAAATGAAAGATTATGCTGGAAGCGTGAATACAATATTTGCTAATGCAAAGATTACTATGGGCTCCGGAATAGTCAATTTTTCAATGCCAAGAGGAACAAATTTTGAGATAAATGATGTGTTATATTCCCCAAAGTCTTTATTGAAACTCATTAAGTTTCAAAGATATTCGCAGAAATGGATATCATATAGAGACTATGAATAAGAATGGCGTTGAATATATTTTCATTACATCAGAGAGGAAACATATATTGGAAGAATTGAAATGTTATCCTATATTGCACAAAAATAAGTATGACTGAATCATATGTTACAGTAAACCAGAAGTTTACTAGTACTTTTAAAGTTTGGCATGAAAGGTTAGGCCATCATGGTTCAGTCATGATGAGAAAGATTGTGTAAAATTCTAATGGCCATATGTTGAATAACGGGAAAATATTACAAATGGCTGAGTTTTTATGTAATGCTTGTTCTCAAAAAAAATTCGTAACTCGGCCATCACCAGCCAATGTTGGGAATGAATCACTAGAATTTTTGGAAAGAATACATGGTGATATATGTAGGCCGATCCACCCACAATGCGGACCATTTAGATATTTTATGGTTTTGATTGATGCATCTAGTAGATGGTCACATGTATGTCTATTGACCACATGAAATATGGCTTTCGCTAAATTCATTGCCCAAATAATCAGGTTGAGAGCACAATTTTCTGATTATGTTATAAGAAAAGTAAGGCTGGATAACGCTGGTGAATTTACTTCACAAGTGTTTAATGATTATTGTATGTCTTTGGGAATCGATGTTGAGCATCTGTTCTGCATGTTCATACACAAAATGGCATGGCTGAGTCATTAATTAAATGGTTGCAATGAATTGTAAGATCGTTAATATTGAGAACAAGACTCTCAATTAATGTATGGGACATGCTATTTTGCATGCAGCAGCCCTGATCCAGATAATGAATATAATGAATATTCTCCATTACAGTTGGTATCTCGACAGGATCCAAATATATCCCATATTTGTGTGCTTGGGTGTGCGGTCTATGTCCCTATAGCGCCACCTTAAAGAACAAAAATGGGACCACAAAGAAGATTGAGAATATAAATCGGTTATACATCACCGAGTATAATCAGGTATCTTGAACCAGTAACTGGTGATATGTTTACGGCACGTTTAGCAGATTGTCATTTTAATGAAGATGAATTCTCCGCGTTAGGGGGAGGATTAAGAGAATCACCAAAAGATATCGCTTGGTGTACAAAATCTTTGGCTTATCTTGATCCTCCTAACAATCAACGTGAGATGGACATTCAGAAAATTGTACATATGCAAAATATGGCAAACTAGTTACCAGATGCGTTCACAGATACAAAGAGGGTGAACAAAATCATATATCCCCGCAGCAAATGTTCCATCCAGAATTAGTGTTCCTGGAGAACATAATAATTGGAACATATCAAATGAACCTAGTTCAGTTGAAAAGGGGGAGACTGATGGGTCCTAAAGATAAAATTCCCCGAAAGAAAAAGAATATGGGAGAAGAAATTTAAAAGGTTCTAGAAGAACCATTCAAAGAAAAAAGTCTGGAAGACATTTATGAAAAGGTTCTAGAAGAACTAGATAAAGAGATTTGTCTTACGAATGTGAGAAAGGAAAATATGAGATTTCCATCAATTACGCCCAAAATGGAGAATTATGGATCAGAGATAAAATAAAAGATATTGATGGAATATTTTCTTTTTCTGTATATAAAAAGATTGAAAGCGATGATCCAGATCCAAAGTCCATATCAGAATGTCAGAAAAGACATGATTGGGAAAAAGGGGAAATAGCCATTGAAACAGAATTATTGTCCCTGAATAAAACAAAAGTTTTTGGACCTATTGTCACAACACCAGAGGAGATAATGCATGTTGGATACAAATGAGTGTTTGTAAGAAAGAGAAATGAGAAACATGAAGCCTTCGATCGATGAAGCTCCTCATGAGCAGCGTCATCTCCTCCTTCTCCAGATTGTACAAGGTCTTTTGAAGAACCGTTTCGCTCACTTCGTCGTCACCGGCGAGACTCCTTACAGCCAGCCCATTTCTCCGGAGAGACTCCTTACAGCCAGCCCATTTCTCCGGCGAGTATAACTATGGTGTTTTGGGTGCCTCTGAAATCTGCTTCTCTATTTCATCCAGCTTCGCTGTCAAATCTAGCCGTCTCTCTCACCTCCAGGTGATGTTCTCTTCGTCACAGCCGAACCCTCTCCATCGCGAATCTCAGAACTTTGATGGAGATTGCAAATTTTGGCTATATCCCGACGAAACCTTGTAAATATTATTAAGGTTAATATGGTTATTGTACCTTAGCAAATAATGGTACTTTTGAAAATAATTAAGTAGATGGTATTTTTGTGGTATTTCAAAAATAATATTAATCAAAAAATTTCATATGTTATAGAGCACACAGTGCAGACCGATCACCTAGTAATGATTATTTTCATTCTCACAATCTATACTAAATGAAATGGATTGTTTGGGGCTCCTAAAGCCATCCACATCAGCAAAAACAAAATCTCTATGATCATGCCACATCAGCAAATCTCTAATAAATATAATTTTTAGTATATTAGTAATATACTAAAATTAAATATTATTTAATCAACAATAATAATAATATTTGAATATTGATTAAATTATGTACAACAAAACATATAAAATATAACTTAATTTTAACAAAAAGAAAATATATTATATATAATAATTTAAATTTTTACAATTCAAATTAATAATAATCACATGTTTAAACTAAAAATCTATAAGATATTATATTATTAGATGTTTAATTTGTCCACACAATAATGAAAAACATCAAATATGTATGATTATGTACATATTATTCCTTTCCTTTTGGCTAAATACATTTAGACATAAATTAAATATTTACAGTATAGTATGAATCATCGTTATAGTTATGCGTATGTAAAAATAAACTTGCATAACTTTATATTAAATATTAATATATTACACTTCCATATTTAAAATAGTATATATATATTTTTATATAAATAAAATGTCATAAAAACTTATCTAACCATCTATATCAATAAAAAAAGAAATTCTTAACAAATCCAACATGTAAGGAAAACTAATATGGTTTATTTTTTTGTTAAGAAACTCTTTTAAAAATAATATAATATATATTATTATTTTAATTATAAAATTCCACTGAAATATATATGTAGAGTAAGAAAAATATATAAGTTAAATTATAAGCAAATGCAAATGAACCTTATAATTTATTTCATAGAATGAGTTAGTATGAAGCTGTATTATATATATATTATTTGCTTTATTCATCACACTTCTATCATTTACAGATGCTTCAGGACCCAAATCAAAAATACAGTTTATCAATATGATTGTGATCTTGTGTAATATGTAAATATTATTTTTATTTATATAAACTAAATTAATTGGAACAAAATATAGGTGTTTGAATTGTAGTCATATGTTTGATAAGTTATTTTTCTTTTCTGAATGAAAAAATTGTTTTAAATTAAATAAAGAGAAAATTTATAGTTGTTAAGTTCAATTATATATCAATTTAGTTAAAACGAAATTAATTTTAATAGTAGTTTGAAAGTTGATGAGCAGTAATGAGTTTATATATAAATATTAATTTCTAGATTAACAATTAATTTTTACATATATCAAATTAGTAAATTTTTAAATTAAATCATAATATATTTTTTGAATACGTTAAAATGGTTTAGATGTATGATTACACCAAAATAATATTGAAAATATTAATTTACAAATAAAATAATTTCAATAAAATAATAATTAAATATTTATGAAAACAATCCAACATCCCTAATAATTATTTATAATCTGTTGGAGGTGTTCATGCGACGATAACCTTAGTTTCATTTGCACCAACCTAGTTAAGTAATTGTGCAACTTCAGATTTGTTGCTTCAACTTGTGATGGCCATTCATATATATAATTGACGCCTGGGATCTTGAATCGTTCATTTCAGTTTGATATATTAGTTTTTTCTTCTTTATGTCAATATATCTGGTCTATAACTACATACTCATCGATCTGTGTATATATTCCATCTTTGATGGTAGACAAAAGGTTAGTGGGCTTTACTAAATTATCAGTGACGAATTGGTTTAAAGTCCAAAGCCTGTCTGGTTTATCACTGACTGGTTTTGGATTTGAAGAGATTTTTCTGATTTATTGGAACTATAACATCCTCACTGACATAAACCTGTCCTCTACCACTTCTCGAGACACAGAACTCTCATTGGGACTGAACACCATTATAATGAGACTGTTGATATTCCTTTATTTTGTTGTAACCTTTTCTACATATACATTCTAAAGACCTAGAGAGTTCATAGGGGGTTCTTGGGAAACTAAAGCCTAAGAAATCTCGTTTTCTTTTCTTTCTTTTTAGCCTTGATTACTTACATAAAACCCAGTAACCTATCTGCTAAGATTTACTTTGTCCAGCAGAAACTTTACAATTTTCAAATGGGTGGAGGACAAGGAGCAGATTATTTCTTAACTGATCCAACAGGTATGTCTTTAATTGATTTCTATAGTCTTTGAATCTGTTTCTCTCACTTATAAATATGAGAATAAACTGATTCTCTGCATTTCTGAGAAAACAGAGTATTCACATATTAATGTAGAGATGTAGTTTAAGTCTTTTAGCTTAATAATTACAACAAATGTTCCATACTGTTAAAAGAAGCAAATATACAGTTGTTCTATCAGATTTTGAAGCCGAGAAAGTGAGCCTCAAAAAAATTAAACACAGTTGAGATATATTAAACAAGGGAGTCTTTTTGTCTGCTTCGGAGTCTTTTGTTTAACATGATAAACTCAAAATGAATATCTTTGGATTTGACAGAGGTGTCAGTTGTGTCAGAATCTTCTCCAGAGGATGGATCAATTTTAGAGATTGCTTGTGATTTGGGGTTACAGCAGAAACCTACAAGAACCCTAGTTCTTGTTGGCCGTTCAGGCAACGGTAAAAGCGCGACAGGCAATAGCATTCTTGGTAGGAAAGCTTTCAAGTCAAGCAGGTGTGCATCAGGGGTTACTACAGCCTGTGAGCTACAGAGCACGACGCTACCAAATGGCCAGATACTCAATGTTATTGATACTCCTGGTGTGTTTGATACTTTAAAACTATCGAGCCAAAGAATCATTATGATAGTTACAATGTTAATCAACATTCTTGATTCTTTATTGGTGCTGCAGGGCTCTTTAGTCTGTCTCCATCAACCGAGTTTACCTGCAGAGAGATTTTGAAGTGCTTGCGCCTGTCCAAAGATGGGATCGATGCGGTGCTTTTGGTGTTTTCCTTGAGGAACAGGCTAACAGAAGAAGAGAAATCCGCGCTTTTTGCATTGAAGATCCTGTTCGGAAGCGAGATTCTAGACTACATGGTTGTTGTTTTCACAAATGAAGATGCACTTGAGGATGACAGTGATACATCAACATTGGAGGAATATTTGAAAGACAGCCCTGATTTCAATGTTAGTTAATCTTATTCTTGCTTACCGGTGTTAAAAATGATAAATGATTTTACATCTTCTGATTGAATTTTTTTTTATGGTTTGTAGGAAATTCTTGAGGCCTGCAATGACCGGAAGGTGTTGTTCGGAAACAGGGCCAATGCTCATGAGAGTCAGAAAGCTAAGCAAGTTCAGGATCTCTTAAACTATGTTGACGAAATAGCAATGAAGAATGGGAAGCCGTATATGGATGATTTATCTCACGAGTTTAGGGTGAAATATCTGACCTTTATTAGTTTTTTTCATACACATGCACTCTTTTTGACGTCTTTTTGACGTCTTTTTGATGACTTTTTGATTGCTTACCGGTTATTTAATCTGCGTTTCAGGAAAGCGAGACTGATAACGTTGGAAAAAAGAGCTGGTTTAAACATGAAATTGTTCAAATGATGACAAGGGAGAAGTCTGTTGAACAGCAGCAGCTCAGACAAATGATGGAGAGGGTAATGTGTTTTGTAGTTATCCATATTATTTGTGAATGAATTGTTTTGATTATTGAGATCAAAACCTTATTCGTTATTTTGGGTTATTTTCTTAGGTGGAGACAAATATGAAAGAGACACTAAACAGACTAGAGAAGCAGCTGAACGAAGAGCAAGCAGCTAGACTTGAACTGGAGAAAATAGCAAACGAGGTCCAGGAACGTTCAAGTGATGAGATTAAGAAGCTGAGGGAGGATCTGGATAGGGCCAAGAAAATTTCCAAGGACCTCGAAGAGAAAAAGGCCGGAACGTGTGTCATTCTGTGATAAAAAAAGACATAAAATCCCTTCGATTCATACACATCCATGTTTGTGTATTTCAACCTTTGGATATGATGGTGAATCTGTTTTGCATTCATGCCAAATAAAACAAGAAAGTGAATCTGTCTTGCAACTACTATTCTAGTACTAGTTTCATAGAAGAGATTGAATTCAAAGAAAACATAGTATACCTCTTTTCTTGTGTCTTACGTTTCAAAATTGAATGTTGAATAGGTTGATGAGAAAGAAGCACAAACACACAGATGATGAACTCAATAACATTCCTGTTAGCTTTGTTTGATCACTTCAGTGGTAGATTCACATGGTCAATCACAGTGGCAACATTTAAGGTAAATATTAAAGGACAAAGAGAAACATGAGTTGCGATTGGACCACCAAATTGTTTTAAAATTGTTAACTTTATCTCAGATTCCTCTTCGTAGTTGGATTTATGTGCTCCTTTTTAGTATATAAATCCTTTTCCTAGTTGGATTTGTGTTATGTTTTTCCTATAAAACAATATCGATGTGTGTTGTAAAAGTTAAGATTTGAAAACAGCATTCTTTCGAATCAACTAATTTGGAAGCTTATCATAGAAGGTTAAGCCTATATTTACCTAAATATCATCGCATCGCTGCAGAATACTCTTCTCAAGCAAGTAACCATCTTATCGATTCTTTAACTTTACTTTTGACTGTTTTGCTTTGTCGCTTCAGCTTTAGGAAAAATCTAAGAGAGCTTTCTTGTTTAAAGTTCTTATGATCATTCTTCTTTTAATAAAAATTCTTTTGCTCTGATTACTTCAGATCATTATCTCAATTTCTCAAGAATAAAAAAGTCTCCTAGGGTTCTAAAAGATTTTTTTAATAAAATTATTGATTGCTTGATAACTTAGCTTAAAGAGTTTTTCGTATTTTTCCTCTTTGAGTTTTGATTTTGAATTAGATTTATGGTGCTTTTCCTTTTCGGCATAGGATACACATATGTCTTTTATGATCAATGTGAATCAGCTTCTTATTCTTTACGACTACGAGAGACTTCTTGATAAGACCTATCTTAAGGTTCAGAAGAGTTCTGAGAAACTAGAAAGTCTACAGATTTCTTTGTGTTTTCTTTTTGGTCTTGATCACTTAGGCTTCTACATAAAACCCATTAACCCTGTTAAGATTTACTTCTCCAGCAGAAACTTTACAAATTTCAAATGGGTGGAGAACAAGTAGCAGATGATTTCTTAAATGATCCTGGAGGTATGTCTTTGTTACTTTAAAACTTTTTGAATCTATTTCTCTCACTCATAGATATAATAAGTAATAAGAGAATATGTTAATTTATATGGACTTTCAACTCAAAACCAATTGGCAATGAGTGGATTGGCCCAAGTCTTATATATATTAGTGTTGGTCCTTTTAAACTTCTGATGTAGGATTCCAACACGCCCCCTCGAGATGATGGTTCTTATCAGCTCATCTCGAACTGAATCCCACTTTAGGACCAGTAATAAACCCTTTTTGGGCCACCCTACTTGGGTTAACAAACGAGGCTCTGATACCATGTTAAGCTATATGGGCTTCCAACTCAAAACCAATTGGCGATGAGTGGATTGGCCAAAGTCTTATATATATTAGTGTTGGTCCCTTTAAACTTTCGATGTAGGATTCCAACAGAATATGAGTCCGTTTTGCAAATCACAATTAATATAGTTGTATAAACTAGTACCAGAGAGAAGAAACTGATTCTCTGCATTTCTGAGATAACAGAGTATTTAACGGAATTGTTAATGGTGTTGTCATCAACTCCAGAAGATGGTTCTGTTTTGGAGGTTACTTGTGATTTGGGGTTACAGCAGAAACCTGCACGAACCCTAGTTCTGGTCGGGCGTTCAGGCAACGGTAAAAGCGCGACAGGGAATAGTATTCTTGGCAGAAAGGCCTTCGAGTCAAGAGGGTGTGCGTCAGGGGTAACTACAGCCTGTCAGATACAGAGTTCGATGCTGCAAAACGGACAGATACTAAAGGTTATTGATACTCCTGGTAATGCGTCTGAAACTAAAAACCATTAAGCCAGCGAGCCATTTGTGATATTTTCATTCTTAAACCTATGCATCTTGATTGATTCTTGCAGGTCTTTTTAGTATGTCTCCATGATATATCATGGTTTTTATGGTTTTTAACCATGATATAAGTTTTTTTTATTGAGCCTTTTTGGTCTTTTTAGAGTCCTAGTAGAGTCTTTGCAGGTTATAGCATGTCTGGAGCATAATTGGAGATATTGGAGCCTTTTGGAGCATTTTGAGTTGAAGCCACGAAGTACCCAACTCGGGAAGAAAAGTATGCATATGGGTGACACTTGTCACCAATCTGGTGACGCTCGTCACCCACCAAGGAAGGAGGTCGTGGCTGTTTTCTAAAAGATTGGGAAGAAATTGTAGTTTTGGCCCAGAAATTCTAATATTTGCAAAAAGGCTCCAGATCGTGTTTTAGCTTGTATATTAGGTTTTTCAGCCATTCTTTTGGCATCTATCTTGTATCTTAATATTTTTGAGAGCTTTAGAGAGAGATTTGTAGCAGAGCTTTTGGAGAGACAAATCAGACTCCTTCAGAGCAGATTTTGAACTCCTTTATTTCTACTTCTTATTTCTTTTATGCAATCTATTTTTTTCATGATGTTTTCTCAAATCACCATGTCTGAGTAGTTTGTTAGTTAAGTTAGGGCTTTTCAAAGGTTGAAGAAGAGTTTGTAGAATTGCTAAAAACTTATAGGAAATTCATTGGTTCTTCATCTGTGCTTGCATTCATATCGATTTCTTAGACACATCATCTGGATTTCGAAACCCTAGGTTGTTTGATAGATGTGAGAGCATTATTAATCACCTGAACTAGTAGTAGATGAGCTAAACACCTAATTGCAAAGATATTTGGCTTAGGAGTTTTGTGAACAATTGAACCTGATCATTACTGCATGTTTAGGTTGTTAGGATTTGCAAAGAGATTTGAAACTCTGTGATTTAGACATAGATAACTTCTGCAATGAGAATTGATTAGTTATATCTTTGCGATTCATGTTCAAGACGATTTTAATTCATTCCTGATTGCATGCATTCTACACTCTCGGATTCAACCTACGAACTGTCCTGACTTAGCGCCTTTAGCCTTCTGAACTTTAAGAACAAGCATAAAACGCTCTTTTGCATTTATTTAACTGTTTTGCATTACATTCATTATTTATCGCTTAGCTTAATCTGAATCTATAATCGCTAGTGTGGTTTACATACTCCCTTGGGATTCGATAACCCCTTGTACTACAACTGCTTTGCTGTGCACTTGCAGTAGTTTTATTTGGGTAAAACCTGAGCCTTATCAAGTTTTTGGCGCCGTTGCCGGGGAGTAATAGCTGCCTATCGATTTTTAGTATTAGGATTTTGTCTAAGTTTTTATTTGTTTACTGACTTTCAGCTACTTTTCTCTGTTCCTGTTTCAGGTGTATGCCTAATCGCAGAACCAGAAGCAACAAAGAGAAGGAGCTTGTGACTTTGAGCATCGACGAGCTTTCTAGGTTGGAGAGAACCAACAGGAAAGCTAAGAAGCAATCTACAATGGTCGCTCCACTTATCTTGGTTGAAGATGCAGAAGGTCACTTAGTTGACAGGGAAGGAAATAGGAGGAACGAAGAGGGGCAGAGAATTGATCAAGAGGGGAATGTCATTGTTGAACAGCAAGTTCATCAAGTGGCTGAGAACGTGGGAGTCCCTGCTGCTGTCAATAACGCTGATGGGCGTTTTGTTCAGAGGACTCTAGGTGACTACAACAGACCTGATCAGTTCTATGCCAACAGAGCTGCTATCCGACCTCCTGCCTTCCAGAGGAACGATTTTGAGATTAAACCTGTGTACTATCAGCTGGTTGGCCAGCATCCATTCCATGGTTTACCTCATGAGCATCCTATGGATCACATAGAGAGATTTGAAGACTTGGCTTCCAGTGTCAAAGCTAATGGGGTTAGCAATGACTTTCTGTTCTGCAAGCTTTTTCCTTACTCTCTTGAAGGAGAAGCTGCATATTGGCTGAAGCAACTGGAGCCTGCTTCATTGACCACTTGGGAAGACACCAAAAATGCCTTTTTGAATAACTTCTATGATGATGCAAGATCAGAGGACATGAGGGCGAAAATTGCATCATTTACACAGGGCCCTACTGAAGCTTTCAAGGCCTCTTGGATCAGGTTCAAGTCTTATCAAAGGGACTGTCCTCATCATGGTTTCAGTCAGGTGCAATTACTTGGGATTTTCTTCAGAGGCATTGACTGGAAATATCAGATGGCGCTGGATGCAGCAAGTGCAGGAAACTTCAACACCAACAGACCAGAAGAGACAATCAGACTGATTAAGAACCTGGTCTGCAGCAACAGCACTAAAAATGCAGACTTTCAGAGAATAAAACAAGCTGGTGTAGCTGATGGAAATCAGATTGCTAAAGTTAAGGCTAAGTTGGATGATATGCACAGCCTTTTGGTGGAGAAGAAGTCGGTTCACTTTGCTGCAGAAGTGGAAACTTTCGAAGCTCCAGAGGAAGTTGAGCAGGAGGATGTAAATTTCATCAATTCTGGTGGTTTTCAGGGACAAAGGTATGGGAATCAACAGTAGAACAGAGGATACAGCAACAATAATTAGAAGAACGCCCTTACAGGAGGACAGAGCACACCTGGTTTCACTCCTAGACCCCCATTCCAGAAGACAGAGTATCAGAAGCCATTCCAGAACAGTGGAAATTACAGAAACTATGGTTCTTCTTCCTATCAACCAGCACCTCCACAAGGGAATAAAATGGAAGCAATGTTCGAACAGATCTTGGAAGGACAACAAAAGCTTACAGTAGACTTTAATGGCAAGATAGATTCGCTCTATCAGGATTTGAATGGAAAAATTGAGAGTCTGAACTCTCATATGAAGAAGCTTGATGTTCAAGTTGCCCAAACTGCAGGAGCTGTTCAGAAGCAAGAAGGATTTCTTC